ATACCAGGTAGTACATCTGTCACCACTTACAGTGTTAATGTAGTGTATATGTTCCTATTATTTAGACCAGTAGTGCTTTGAATCATTTTTTCTACATTGTACATTATTTTTGTTCCTTTTATGTGGCTTTTCATCTTCCTTATATTAAAAAATGTTTTCTTTAACAGTGATGACCAACCATATATCTACAAAGATGCTGTTTTCATCTCCCCACACAAGTTTGTTGGAGGAGTGTCCACTCCAGGTTAGTCTCATTTTATCCCTCTTATTTCAACAAGTTAGTGCAGAAAGAAGTCCCTTTTATAAATTGTTTTTAGTTGCTTTTTATACGCTGTCGAATGACGGGACATATTATTTTATCACGCGGACGGGCGGACGGAGGGACGGGCGTAAACATTGACAAGTCGATACCTTGAGTAGTTTTCAACAGTTTAACTTCAAGCTTCATAGGAAGGTTCATTGCAATGATAGCTCAGATAAATTTGATAACTGCAATGATCATACCATAATTAATGGAGTTATTGCCCTTTATTCATTTGCCCAAACAGTGTCCACTCAATATCTCGAAAGGTGTTCAATGAATTAACTTCAAACTTCATAGTAAAGTTCATTGCTTTGATAGGCCTAGCTCAGACAAGTGTTCTAACTGTAATTATCTGACCGTAATTTGCAGAGTTATAGCCCTTTATTCAATTGCCAAATTAGTGTCTGCTCGATATCTCAAATTAGTTTCAACAGATTAACTTCAAACTTAATAGGAAGGTTTAATATCATGATAACTCTAACAAGTGAGATAACCACCATTTACAGAGTTATGACCCTTTATGTACAACCATACAGACAACTGCTTATTTAAAGTATGATGGGCATGTTATGTTCCGGTTTTGCATTACCCTCGTTTCAAAAGTCTTGGATTGAAATAAACATTCATTTTTATCTTATATTGTTTTAACGATGAGATATCAATACAAAACAGCCCTTTATCTTACCAGGATGAGGCGACACAGTGAGTGATGACGTTACATGCATCAGGACCTTCCTTGGTATTAGACTTGCACAAGTCAGATATTCTAGAAATTATTAGAAAATTAGTAAATTTGCACTGAATGTATATATAAGGATTGAGTCCTCTTGTGTTGAGGTTTATGAGGTATAACCCCCCAGTGGATGTTGATACAAATTTGATATGAACTGCTTCGCAGTCAATTGAATTTGTCTCAAGACCATTTTATGTTTATACCCCATTAACCTCAACAGGACAGGGTCAAATCCTTAATAACATATCGAGTAACGTATGTATTATGAACCATGCCACGATACAATGATAATTACTGAGGCTATCAAGGTTACAGCAAACTCCGGGATCAATAAATCCACCAGCAGAACCCACCACCTTGTATCTTGAAAACTGGTGGTGTATGATTGCACATTGTATTATAGATACAGTATGTCAAACTTGAATTACACTGCATCATACAGCTGTTTCGTCTTTCTAGGACTCGTTGGTGATTCTAGGGTCAAACAGTTTGAAATCCAAAGTCGTCTAAACTACTGTTTAAACAGAAGGAGATGTACATTATATGAATTTCAAATCTTAGTGAAGAACTGGTTAATGTGGAAATGTGTGATATGTAGAATTTTCTTTCTACAGGTATTTTGGTAGCTAAAAAGAATCTGTTCCACAACATTGTACCAGACAAGTGTGGCGGTGGGTCTGTGTTCTATGTAAGTATACACACAGTAGTGTGAAGTATTCAAATTAATGAAAAATTATCCTTTAGTTTTAATAGTAAGTAATTGGATAATGTATGCTTGTTTGATGAATAGAAACGGCCATATAAATTTAAAGACTTCTAGGGTGTGTCAGTGGTATCAGTACTACAAAACTAGCATCATCATAATGAAGATGTCAGCAACGAGTCGTTGTCTCTGTATCAGGATCTGGTAGTGTTATATAAACAACGAGTCATTGCCTCTGTATCAGGACCTGGTAGGGGTATATAAACAACGAGTCATTGCCTCTGTATCAAGACCTGGTAGTGTTATATAAACAGCGAGTCATTGCCTCTGTATCAGGACTTGGTAGTGTTGTATAAACAACGAGTCATTGCCTCTGTATCAGGACCTGGTAGTGTTATATAAACAATGAGTCATTGCCCCTGTATCGGGACCTGGTAGTGTTATATAAACAACGAGTCATTGCCTCTGTATCAGGACCTGGTAGTATTATATAAACAACGTTTCATTGCCTCTGTATCAGGACCTGGTAGTGTTATATAAACAACGAGTCATTGCCTCTGTATCAGGACCTGGTAGTGTATATAAACAGTGAGTCATTGCCTCTGTATCAGGACCTGGTAGTGTTATATAAACAACGAGTCATTGCCATTGTATCAGGACCTGGTAGTGTTATATAAACAACGAGTCATTACCTCTGTATCAGGACCTGGTAGTGTTATATAAACAACGAGTCATTGCCTCTGTGGGTCAGCAGTAGCCCTGTAGATACTGGACGTGGGTCAGCAGAACCCCTGTAGACACTGAATGTTGGTCAGCAGTACCCCTGTAGACACTGGACGTAGGTCAGCAGTACCCCTGTAGACATTGGACGTGGGTCAGCAGTACCCCTGTAGACACTGAATGTGGGTCAGCAGTAGCCCTGTAGATACTGGACGTGGGTCAGCAGTACCCCTGTAGACACTGAATGTTGGTCAGCAGTTACCCTGTAGACACTGAATGAGGGTCACCAGTAGCCCTGTAGATACTGGACGTGGGTAAGCAGTAGCCCTGTAGATACTGGATGTGGGTCAGCAGAACCCCTGTAGACACTGAATGTGGGTCAGCAGTAGCCCTGTAGATACTGGACGTGGGTCAGCAGAACCCCTGTAGACACTGAATGTGGGTCAGCAGTAACCCTGTAGACGCTGGATGTGGGTCAGCAGTAGCCCTGTAGACACTGAATGTGGGTAAGCAGTAGCCCTGTAGACACTGGTTGTGGGTCAGCAGTAGCCCTGTAGACACTGGATGTGGGTCAGCAGTAACCCTGTAGACACTGGACGCGGGTCAGCAGTAGCCCTGTAGACACTGAATGTGGGTAAGCAGTAGCCCTGTAGACACTGGTTGTGGGTCAGCAGTAGCCCTGTAGACACTGGATGTGGGTCAGCAGTAGCCCTGTAGACACTGGTTGTGGGTCAGCAGTAGCCCTGTAGACAATGGACGTGGCTCAGCAGTAACCCTGTAGACACAGAATGTTGGTCAGCAGTACCCCTGTAGACACTGGACGTGGGTCAGCAGTAGCCCTGTAGACACTGAATGTGGGTCACCAGTAGCCTCGTAGACACTGGATTAGGGTCACCAGTAACCCTGTAGACACTGGACTTGGGTCAGCAGTACCCCTGTAGACACTGGACGTGGATCAGCAGTAACCCTGTAGACACTGTATGTGGGTCAGCAGTAACCCTGTAGACACTGAATGTGGGTCAGCAGTAACCCTGTAGACACTGGATGTGGGTAAGCAGTAGCCCTGTAGACACTGGACGGGGGTCAGCAGTTACCCTGTACACACTGGATGTAGGTAAGCAGTAGCCCTGTAGACAATGGACGTGGATCAGCAGTACCCCTGTAGACACTTGACGTGGGTCAGCAGTAACCCTATAGACACTGTATGTGGGTCAGCAGTACCCCTGTAGACACTGGACGTGGGTCAGCAGTTACCCTGTAGACACTGGATGTAGGTAAGCAGTAGCCCTGTAGATACTGGACGTGGATCAGCAGTAACCCTGTAGACACTGAATGTGGGTCAGCAGTAGCCCTGTAGACACTGAATGTGGGACAGCAGTAACCCTGTAGACACTGGATGTGGGTCAGCAGTAGCCCTGTAGATACTAGACGTGGTTCAGCAGTAACCCTGTAGACACTGAATGTGGGTCAGCAGTAGCCCTGTAGACACTGGACGGTGGGTCAGCAGTAAGCCTGAAGACACTGGACGTGGGTCAGCAGTACCCCTGTAGGCACTGGACGTGGGTCAGCAGTTACCCTGTAGACACTGGATGTAGGTAAGCAGTAGCCCTGTAGACACTGGACGTGGGTCAGCAGTAGCCCTGTAGACACTGGACGTGGGTCAGCAGTCCCCCTGTAGACACTGGACGTGGGTCAGCAGTTACCCTGTAGACACTGGATGTGGGTCAGCAGTAGCCCTGTAGACACTGGACGTGGGTCAGCAGTAACCCTGTAGATACTGGACGTGGGTCAGCAGTAACCCTGTAGACACTTGACGTGGGTCAGCAGTAACCATGTAGACACTGAATGTGGGTCAGCAGTAGCCCTGTAGATACTAGACGTGGGTCAGCAGTAACCCTGTAGACACTGAACGTGGATCAGCAGTAACCCTGTAGACACTGAATGTGGGTCAGCAGTAGCCCTGTAGACCCTGGACGTGGGTCAGCAGTAACCCTGTAGACACTTGACGTGGGGCAGCAGTAACCCTGTAGACACTGAATGTGGGTCAGCAGTAACCCTGTAGAAACTGAATGTGAGTCAGCAGTAGCCCTGTAGATACTTAATGTGGGTCAGCAGTAACCCTGTAGACACTGGATGTGGGTCAGCAGTAGCCCTGTAGATACTAGACGTGGGTCAGCAGTAACCCTGTAGACATTGAAGGTGGGTCAGCAGTAACCCTGTAGACACTGAATGTGAGTCAGCAGTAGCCCTGTAGACACTGAATGTGGGTCAGCAGTAACCCTGTAGAAACTGAATGTGAGTCAGCAGTAGCCCTGTAGATACAGAATGTGGGTCAGCAGTAACCCTGTAGACACTGAATGTGGGTCAACAGTAACCCTGTAGACACTGGACGTGGGTCAGCAGTAACCCTGTAGATACTGGACGTGGGTCAGCAGTAACCCTGTAGACACTGGCCTGGATGTCTTTTGAAACATCTACCTTCTTATTAGTTTTGCCTCTTTACTTAAAGGCTAGAAATATTTGATTGATAAATCTGTGTCTCGCAACTTACAGGCTAGGAATGTTTGATTGATAAATCTGTGTGTCTTGTAACTTATAGGCTAGGGATGTTTGATTGATAAATCTGTGTGTCTTGGAACTTACAGGCTAGGAATGTTTGATTGATAAATCTGTGTGTCTTGTAACTTACAGGCTAGGAATGTTTGATTGATAAATCTGTGTGTCTTGTAACTTGCAGGCTAGGAATGTTTGATTGATAAATCTGTGTGTCTGCCATTGTTAGGTGAGAAGGGATGGACATCGGTACCTACAGGAACCTGAACTGAAGGAAGAGGGAGGTACGCCTGCTATTGTTGAATCAATCCGAGCAGGACTTGTGTTCCAGCTGAAGGAGGCTGTCACTTCTGACACCATTACAACACTGGAACACGAGTTGTACAGGTATAGTGAGTCTGAGGTTTGGAGTGGAATACCCTTTAGCTGGATACCTTGAGGTATGCCAGCTGACAGACAACATTCCAACCGAGTTGCGAAACAGACACAATCAGATTTGTTTTTATTTGGTGTCATCAACATTTCTAACTTTATAACTAAAATAATGAAATGATAGCTCAGTAATATATTAATGTTTGATAAAAAAGGGCATCAAAATACTTCTTTTTAAAACATATTAATTGTCAAAATACTTATCTAAGAACATTATTAAAGGACATAAATAAGGTGTTTGGATATTGCAGGAAAGCATACGAAGCCTGGAGTAAGTGTGACAACTTGGTGTTACTAGGAAACCATAGCAACAGCAGTAACAGACTACCTATCTTCTCCTTCCTCGTCTACCATCCGGTCGGTGGTCGCTTCCTCCACCACAACTACGTGGCTGCTATCCTTAACGACCTGTTTGGTATACAAGCAAGAGGAGGATGTGCTTGTGCAGGGCCTTATGCAATGGTAAGTTTGTCATGTGTTGTTCAGTGTAAGGAGTGATGTGCTTATGCAGGGCCTTATGGAATGGTAAGTTTGTCATGTGTTGTTCAGTGTAAGGAGTGATGTGCTTGTGCAGGGCCTTATACAATGGTAAGTTTGTCATGTGTTGTTCAGTGTAAGGAGTTATGTGCTTGTGCAGGGCCTTATACAATGGTAAGTTTGCCATGTGTTGTTCAGTGTAAGGAGTGATGTGCTTGTGCAGGGCCTTATGTAATGGTACTTTCAAGGTCACAGGGGTCAAATGTGTCAAACTCTTCAAACGACTATTTCTGAAGAACTGAAAGGTATACAGGTTTTATGTTTGGCTGATGGCTTCCTGGGATGGAGCCCGACAAAGTTTGAAAATGAAAATAACCTTGACCTACTTACAAGGTCACAGGGGTCAAATGTGTCAAACTATTCAAACGACTACTCCTGAAGAACTGAAAGGTATAGAATCTTTATATTAGGCTTGTGGCTTCCTGGGATAGAGCCCGTCAAAGTTTGAGAATGAAAATGACTTTGATGTACTTTCAAGGTCATAGCGGTCAAATATGTCAAACGCTTCAAACGACTTCTTCTGAAGAACTAAAAGTTATAGAACCTTCATAATTGGCTGTTGGCTTCCTGAGATAGAGCCCAACAAAGTTTGAGAATGAAGAAGGCCTTGACCTAGTTTCAAGGTCACAGGTGTCAAATATGTCAAGAACATCAAACGACTTCTGAATAATCGAAAGGTATGTAATATTTGGCTGGTGGCTTCCTGGGATAGAGCTCACCAAAGTTTGCAAATGTTTATGACCTCAACCTTCTTTAAGGGTCACAGAGGTCAACAACATTTCAAAGAATTTGTTCTGAAGAACCAAAAGGAATGGATTCGTAAGATTTGGCTGGTAGCTGTTTGGGATAAAGCTAACAAAGCTAACAGACCTTACAATGATGGGCTCCTCAAAAATTGCTCTGGGATCTCTGGTTGTACTTACTAGCCTCTGTATGTTGTATGTCAACCTCAGTGTAGTTGTATATGAAATCCCTATTCCTGATTTGACCTTTCTCTGTAGGACTTACTTGGTTTGGATGAGAAAACGGCATCTGAGATTGAAGACTTACTCGCAGAGGACAACAGATTAGATAGGACTCATCTTCGGCGCTATCGCGAGTATTCACCTCGTGAAATCATCAGGTAAAAATTCCTGGCTTTCTCTACACATTACATAATTCAGTCTTTTTCATGTCTGTCTGTCTGTCTGTCTGTCTGTCTGTCTGTCAGTCCGCTTTTTGCCTTGTCCTTGATGTCATATGAAGGAATGGTGGTATTTTAATCTCACCTGTCCGTCGTCGGTCCGTCTTTAAACGCTACTTGTCCTGAACAGCCAAGTAGATTTGGACTTAATTTAGTCTGAATCATCCTTGGGTGAAGGGGAACCAATTTTGTTTAAACTGTGGGTCTGGCCCCCCCTCCCCCCAGTGGCCTGAGGGGCAGGGCCCAATAGGAGAAACAAAGCAAATTATTTAAAATCCTTCTTATTCTGTAGGAACGAAAGGATTTGGTCCATATTTGGTGTGGAGCAACCTTGAGTAAAGGGGAACAAATTTTGTGTAAATGTTGTGTGTGGCCCCCCCTGGGACCTGAGGGGCAGGGGGAAATAGTGGTAAACCCTTTAAAATCCTTTTCTTCCATAGGGATTAACGGATTTTATCCATATTTAGTTTGAAGCATCCTTGGGCCAAGGGACTCAATTTTGTATCAGCAGTAGGTGTGGTCTCCCAGGGGTAAAAGGGTGGGGCCCAATAGGAGAAATAGGTAAAACCTTTAAAATCCTTCTTCGCCCATTGGAATTAAGGCATTTTATCCTTATTTAGTCTGGAGCATCTTTGGGCCACCAAGGGGACTCAATTTTGTATAAACGGTGGGTATGACCGCCCTAGGGGCATAGGGGTGGGGCTCTGTTTGAAGTTTGTTCTCGCTATATCTCAAGTACTGGATGGATCTTTCTGAAATATGATATGTACTTACAGCACATACCATGGAGTGCTATATCTTACTTCATACCAATTATTTTAAACATATTCAGGTGAGCGATACAGGCGCTCTGGGCCTCTTGTTATCAAACTTGTCTGATGACCTACCGACCCTTGTAGTCCTGTCTCAGGTTGGATGATCGGCAAGTCGGTGAGGCTGCTGCATTGTGATGGGTTGATTGCTTTCTGCACAATGACAGAATAACACAATACCTAATGACAGAATAACACAATATCTAATGACAGAATAACACAATATCTAATGACAGAATAACACAATATCTAATGACAGAATAACACAATATCTAATGAGAGAATAACACAATATCTAATGAGAGAATAACACAATACCTAATGACAGAATAACACAATATCTAATGACAGAATAACACAAAATCTAATGACAGAATAACAAAATATCTAATAAAAGAATAACACAATACCTAATGACAGAATCACACAATATCTAATGACAGCATAACACAATACCTAATGACAGAATGACACAATACCTAATGACAGAATAACTCAATATCTAATGACAGAATTACACAATATCTAATGACAGGATAACACAATATCTAATGATAGAATAACACAATATCTAATGACACAATAACACAATACCTAATGACAGAATAACTCAATATCTAATGACAGAATAATCAGATAATAACACAATATCTAATGACACAATAACACAATACCTAATGACAGAATGACACAATACCTAATGACAGAATGACACAATACCTAATGACAGAATGACACAATACCTAATGACAGAATAACAAATATCTAATGAGAGAATAACACCATACCTAATGACAGAATAACTCAATATCTAATGACAGAATTACACAATATCTAATGACAGCATAACACAATACCTAATGACAGATTAACACAATATCTAATGACAGGATAACACAATATCTAATGAGAGAATAACACAGTACCTAATGACAGAATAACATAATATCTAATGACAGAAGAACACAATATCTAATGACACAATAACACAATACCTAATGACAGAATGACACAATACCTAATGACAGAATGACACAATACCTAATGACAGATTAACACAATATCTAATGACAAAATAACACAATATCTAATGCCAGAATAACACAATACCTAATGACAGAATAACAAATATCTAATGAGAGAATAACCCAATATCTAATGAGAGAATAACATAATATCTAATGACAGAAGAACACAATATCTAATGACAGCATAACACAATACCTAATGACAGAATCACACAATATCTAATGACAGGATAACACAATATCTAATGACAAAATAACACAATATCTAATGAGAGCATAACACAATACCTAATGACAGAATGACACAATACCTAATGACAGAATAACTCAATATCTAATGACAGAATAATCAGATGTTGATGAACCTTTTCTGGTATAGGCCTTACTTCTTACTCCAGATTCTCTCTTGGATTTGAATTTTGGCAAATTCCATGCATATCTAATGACAGAATAATCAGATAATAACACAATATCTAATGAGAGCATAACACAATACCTAATGAGAGAATAACACAGTACCTAATGACAGAATAACAAATATCTAATGAGAGAATAACATAATATCTAATGAGAGAATAACATAATATCTAATGACAGAAGAACACAATATCTAATGACACAATAACACAATATCTAATGCCAGAATAACACAATACCTAATGAGAGAATAACACAGTACCTAATGACAGAATAACAAATATCTAATGAGAGAATAACAAAATATCTAATGAGAGAATAACATAATATCTAATGACAGAAGAACACAATATCTAATGACAGGATAACACAATATCTAATGACACAATAACACAATACCTAATGAGAGAATAACACAGTACCTAATGACAGAATAACTCAATATCTAATGACAGAATAACACAATATCTAATGACAGAATAATCAGATGTTGATGAAACTTTTCTGGTATAGGCCTTACTTCTTACTCCAGATTCTCTCTTGGATTTGAATTTTGGCAAATTCCATGCATATTTAATGAGGCTGCTATGCATTGATTGGTTATTTGCTTTCCTTGCAGTATCTTATAACAGCATGATCATATTTCTATCAACCTTGCTTGGTGTAATACTTGCCAAATCTCCTGCTCTGGTTTGATGTTTACATAAATTCCACAGCGGTAAGGCACATTGCTGGGCCCTTGCTGACATTCAGTGTTCTAGACCCCAGTCAAAATCATCGTTGGTTGATAAGGGTCGGCCCCTGGCGGCGTGGGCCAAGGGATCAGATACAGACTACTTCTAATGTTCATTTCATGTATTATTCATCATGCAGTATTTCAGACAAGTCAACATTTTCTTGTTAATTTTTTTGTTTTTGTTTTTTTATTCAGACCAGGCTTCGTGAGAATCAACCTACCTTACTTTCTACAAAAAGACACCCTTCAGTTTGTCATTGAGGCCGTCAAGTTGACTGCACAACACTGTTGGAAGTTGCTACCTCAGGTCACCATTCTTATCTTGGTTTTTTTTTAAATATTGAAAGTCAAAGAAAGACAAATTTAAATTTATTTTGGTAGCTATTACAAACTAAGAAATGATGTACAAATTTAACGGTTTTGATTTTTAGCTCTACTGGTCTATTTGTTGTCTGTCAACTTTTTAGCTAGCCTGATGCCCGAATGTGTGGCCAGTAGTTTGGAGANGTCCTCCCCCCCCCTGTAGTACTCCTGTTACAGTATTTATATATAGATGGTGTGTGTATATAGCCCTCCTCCTCCTGCAGTACTCCTGTTACAGTGTTTATATGGAGGTGGTGTATATAGTCCTCCCCCCCCCTGTAGTACTCCTGTTACAGTATTTATATATAGATGGTGTGTGTATATAGCCCTCCTCCTCCTGCAGTACTCCTGTTACAGTGTTTATATGGAGGTGGTGTATATAGTCCTCCCCCCCCCTGTAGTACTCCTGTTACAGTATTTATATATAGATGGTGTGTGTATATAGCCCTCCTCCTCCTGCAGTACTCCTGTTACAGTGTTTATATGGAGGTGGTGTATATAGTCCTCCCCCCCCCTGTAGTACTCCTGTTACAGTATTTATATATAGATGGTGTGTGTATATAGCCCTCCTCCTCCTGCAGTACTCCTGTTACAGTGTTTATATGGAGGTGGTGTATATAGTCCTCCCCCCCCCTGTAGTACTCCTGTTACAGTATTTATATATAGATGGTGTGTGTATATAGCCCTCCTCCTCCTGCAGTACTCCTGTTACAGTGTTTATATGGAGGTGGTGTATATAGTCCTCCCCCCCCCTGTAGTACTCCTGTTACAGTATTTATATATAGATGGTGTGTGTATATAGCCCTCCTCCTCCTGCAGTACTCCTGTTACAGTGTTTATATGGAGGTGGTGTATATAGTCCTCCCCCCCCCTGTAGTACTCCTGTTACAGTATTTATATATAGATGGTGTGTGTATATAGCCCTCCTCCTCCTGCAGTACTCCTGTTACAGTGTTTATATGGAGGTGGTGTATATAGTCCTCCCCCCCCCTGTAGTACTCCTGTTACAGTATTTATATATAGATGGTGTGTGTATATAGCCCTCCTCCTCCTGCAGTACTCCTGTTACAGTGTTTATATGGAGGTGGTGTATATAGTCCTCCCCCCCCCTGTAGTACTCCTGTTACAGTATTTATATATAGATGGTGTGTGTATATAGCCCTCCTCCTCCTGCAGTACTCCTGTTACAGTGTTTATATGGAGGTGGTGTATATAGTCCTCCCCCCCCCTGTAGTACTCCTGTTACAGTATTTATATATAGATGGTGTGTGTATATAGCCCTCCTCCTCCTGCAGTACTCCTGTTACAGTGTTTATATGGAGGTGGTGTATATAGTCCTCCCCCCCCCTGTAGTACTCCTGTTACAGTATTTATATATAGATGGTGTGTGTATATAGCCCTCCTCCTCCTGCAGTACTCCTGTTACAGTGTTTATATGGAGGTGGTGTATATAGTCCTCCCCCCCCCTGTAGTACTCCTGTTACAGTATTTATATATAGATGGTGTGTGTATATAGCCCTCCTCCTCCTGCAGTACTCCTGTTACAGTGTTTATATGGAGGTGGTGTATATAGTCCTCCCCCCCCCTGTAGTACTCCTGTTACAGTATTTATATATAGATGGTGTGTGTATATAGCCCTCCTCCTCCTGCAGTACTCCTGTTACAGTGTTTATATGGAGGTGGTGTATATAGTCCTCCCCCCCCCTGTAGTACTCCTGTTACAGTATTTATATATAGATGGTGTGTGTATATAGCCCTCCTCCTCCTGCAGTACTCCTGTTACAGTGTTTATATGGAGGTGGTGTATATAGTCCTCCCCCCCCCTGTAGTACTCCTGTTACAGTATTTATATATAGATGGTGTGTGTATATAGCCCTCCTCCTCCTGCAGTACTCCTGTTACAGTGTTTATATGGAGGTGGTGTATATAGTCCTCCCCCCCCCTGTAGTACTCCTGTTACAGTATTTATATATAGATGGTGTGTGTATATAGCCCTCCTCCTCCTGCAGTACTCCTGTTACAGTGTTTATATGGAGGTGGTGTATATAGTCCTCCCCCCCCCTGTAGTACTCCTGTTACAGTATTTATATATAGATGGTGTGTGTATATAGCCCTCCTCCTCCTGCAGTACTCCTGTTACAGTGTTTATATGGAGGTGGTGTATATAGTCCTCCCCCCCCCTGTAGTACTCCTGTTACAGTATTTATATATAGATGGTGTGTGTATATAGCCCTCCTCCTCCTGCAGTACTCCTGTTACAGTGTTTATATGGAGGTGGTGTATATAGTCCTCCCCCCCCCTGTAGTACTCCTGTTACAGTATTTATATATAGATGGTGTGTGTATATAGCCCTCCTCCTCCTGCAGTACTCCTGTTACAGTGTTTATATGGAGGTGGTGTATATAGTCCTCCCCCCCCCTGTAGTACTCCTGTTACAGTATTTATATATAGATGGTGTGTGTATATAGCCCTCCTCCTCCTGCAGTACTCCTGTTACAGTGTTTATATGGAGGTGGTGTATATAGTCCTCCCCCCCCCTGTAGTACTCCTGTTACAGTATTTATATATAGATGGTGTGTGTATATAGCCCTCCTCCTCCTGCAGTACTCCTGTTACAGTGTTTATATGGAGGTGGTGTATATAGTCCTCCCCCCCCCTGTAGTACTCCTGTTACAGTATTTATATATAGATGGTGTGTGTATATAGCCCTCCTCCTCCTGCAGTACTCCTGTTACAGTGTTTATATGGAGGTGGTGTATATAGTCCTCCCCCCCCCTGTAGTACTCCTGTTACAGTATTTATATATAGATGGTGTGTGTATATAGCCCTCCTCCTCCTGCAGTACTCCTGTTACAGTGTTTATATGGAGGTGGTGTATATAGTCCTCCCCCCCCCTGTAGTACTCCTGTTACAGTATTTATATATAGATGGTGTGTGTATATAGCCCTCCTCCTCCTGCAGTACTCCTGTTACAGTGTTTATATGGAGGTGGTGTATATAGTCCTCCCCCCCCCTGTAGTACTCCTGTTACAGTATTTATATATAGATGGTGTGTGTATATAGCCCTCCTCCTCCTGCAGTACTCCTGTTACAGTGTTTATATGGAGGTGGTGTATATAGTCCTCCCCCCCCCTGTAGTACTCCTGTTACAGTATTTATATATAGATGGTGTGTGTATATAGCCCTCCTCCTCCTGCAGTACTCCTGTTACAGTGTTTATATGGAGGTGGTGTATATAGTCCTCCCCCCCCCTGTAGTACTCCTGTTACAGTATTTATATATAGATGGTGTGTGTATATAGCCCTCCTCCTCCTGCAGTACTCCTGTTACAGTGTTTATATGGAGGTGGTGTATATAGTCCTCCCCCCCCCTGTAGTACTCCTGTTACAGTATTTATATATAGATGGTGTGTGTATATAGCCCTCCTCCTCCTGCAGTACTCCTGTTACAGTGTTTATATGGAGGTGGTGTATATAGTCCTCCCCCCCCCTGTAGTACTCCTGTTACAGTATTTATATATAGATGGTGTGTGTATATAGCCCTCCTCCTCCTGCAGTACTCCTGTTACAGTGTTTATATGGAGGTGGTGTATATAGTCCTCCCCCCCCCTGTAGTACTCCTGTTACAGTATTTATATATAGATGGTGTGTGTATATAGCCCTCCTCCTCNCTCCTGTTACAGTGTTTATATGGAGATGGTGTATATAGTCCCCCCCTCCAGTACTCCTGTTACAGTGTTTATATGGAGATGGTGTATATAGTCCCCCCCTCCAGTACTCCTGTTACAGTGTTTATATGGAGATGGTGTATATAGTCCCCCCCTCCAGTACTCCTGTTACAGTGTTTATATGGAGATGGTGTATATAGTCCCCCCCTCCAGTACTCCTGTTACAGTGTTTATATGGAGATGGTGTATATAGTCCCCCCCTCCAGTACTCCTGTTACAGTGTTTATATGGAGATGGTGTATATAGTCCCCCCCTCCAGTACTCCTGTTACAGTGTTTATATGGAGATGGTGTATATAGTCCCCCCCTCCAGTACTCCTGTTACAGTGTTTATATGGAGATGGTGTATATAGTCCCCCCCTCCAGTACTCCTGTTACAGTGTTTATATGGAGATGGTGTATATAGTCCCCCCCTCCAGTACTCCTGTTACAGTGTTTATATGGAGATGGTGTATATAGTCCCCCCCTCCAGTACTCCTGTTACAGTGTTTATATGGAGATGGTGTATATAGTCCCCCCCTCCAGTACTCCTGTTACAGTGTTTATATGGAGATGGTGTATATAGTCCCCCCCTCCAGTACTCCTGTTACAGTGTTTATATGGAGATGGTGTATATAGTCCCCCCCTCCAGTACTCCTGTTACAGTGTTTATATGGAGATGGTGTATATAGTCCCCCCCTCCAGTACTCCTGTTACAGTGTTTATATGGAGATGGTGTATATAGTCCCCCCCTCCAGTACTCCTGTTACAGTGTTTATATGGAGATGGTGTATATAGTCCCCCCCTCCAGTACTCCTGTTACAGTGTTTATATGGAGATGGTGTATATAGTCCCCCCCTCCAGTACTCCTGTTACAGTGTTTATATGGAGATGGTGTATATAGTCCCCCCCTCCAGTACTCCTGTTACAGTGTGTTTATATGGAGGTGGTGTATATAGTCCCCCCTGCAGTACTCCTGTTACAGTGTCTTTATATGGAGGTGGTGTATATAGTCCCCCCTGCAGTTCTCCTGTTACAGTGTTTATATGGAGATTATGTAAAATGATTACATTTATTGTTTGTTTAAATTAGAAAATATTCATTTTTCTTTACAGTATATGTTTAATCCGGAAACTGGGGAATGGCGACAGAAAAATTTCCAGGTAACATATACTATTTTAGTTCACCTCGTGTAAAATTGCCTGTAAGTTTGAATAACTCGAAGACACAGGGTCCTGGTATTTGGCCAGTAGGTTCCTGGCATAGAGTGAAAAGAAGTTTGTTATAAAATGACATTGATATACTTTTGAGCTCACTGTGATCAAATGTGTTAAAAGCTTCAAACAATGATATCTGGAAAAAGAAAAAAAATGGATTCTAAAGCAAAGAGACTTTGGTATGGTATGTGGACTGTTAATGTCAGCTGAAATGGTTCTGAATAGCTACCGTCGATACATTCTAGATAGACCTCCATCTGGATAGGTCTAGAGCCATGCTACTTGGGCATATCATGTAGACAAGCAGTGTGAATCAATCTTATGTATTGTGTTAAAGATAACAGTAAACTTTTACACCAGGCTCCCTGTTGCTGAGAGTTATTATATTAAGAAATAAACTAGCTTGCCCAATTAGCAATTTACAGGTCAAGAAAAATGAGTTTTTAAACTCATCATAAGAATGGTCCTGGTAAATCTGAAGGCCCTGTGTACCTGTTTGTTGTTATCACTGACACAATAATTCATGGTTTTGTTTAATATAATAATAAACGTTGGAATAAAGGATAAATCGGATCACTGATCAATTAGTCTACTCACGTAGTGTAAAGCAACAGAAAACTGTACCAACAAAGCTGGACTACCTGCTGTTAAACGATCTACATGATAAACATGTTCATAGTGAATTACCCTTATATATATATATATAGGTGTTCAAAGACAGAAAATGGCTTGGTCATATCCAGTACAACTCTGGTGAGATGAAGTACAAGGTGCCCCCACCTATAGTAAAGGGTCCATTACCCACAGACTACCAGGTATGTACAAGGTGCCTCCACCTATAGTAAAGGGTCCATTACCCACAGACTACCAGGTATGTACAAGGTGTCCCTACCTATAGTAAAGGGTCCATTACCCACAGACTACCAGGTATGTACAGGGTGCCCCCACCTATAGTAAAGGGTCCATTACCCACAGACTACCAGGTATGTACAGGGTGCCCCCACCTATAGTAAAGGGTCCATTACCCACAGACTACCAGGTATGTACAGGGTGTCCCCACCTATAGTAAAGGGTCCATTACCCACAGACTACCAGGTATGTACAGGGTGTCCCCACCTATAGTAAAGGGTCCATTACCCACAGACTACCAGGTATGTACAGGGTGTCCCCACCTATAGTAAAGGGTCCATTACCCACAGACTACCAGGTATGTACAGGGTGTCCCCACCTATAGTAAAGGGTCCATTACCCACAGACTACCAGGTATGTACAGGGTGTCCCCACCTATAGTAAAGGGTCCATTACCCACAGACTACCAGGTATGTACAGGGTGTCCCCACCTATAGTAAAGGGTCCATTACCCACAGACTACCAGGTATGTACAGGGTGTCCCCACCTATAGTAAAGGGTCCATTACCCACAGACTACCAGGTATGTACAGGGTGTCCCCACCTATAGTAAAGGGTCCATTACCCACAGACTACCAGGTATGTACAGGGTGTCCCCACCTATAGTAAAGGGTCCATTACCCACAGACTACCAGGTATGTACAGGGTGTCCCCACCTATAGTAAAGGGTCCATTACCCACAGACTACCAGGTATGTACAGGGTGTCCCCACCTATAGTAAAGGGTCCATTACCCACAGACTACCAGGTATGTACAGGGTGTCCCCACCTATAGTAAAGGGTCCATTACCCACAGACTACCAGGTATGTACAGGGTGTCCCCACCTATAGTAAAGGGTCCATTACCCACAGACTACCAGGTATGTACAGGGTGTCCCCACCTATAGTAAAGGGTCCATTACCCACAGACTACCAGGTATGTACAGGGTGTCCCCACCTATAGTAAAGGGTCCATTACCCACAGACTACCAGGTATGTACAGGGTGTCCCCACCTATAGTAAAGGGTCCATTACCCACAGACTACCAGGTATGTACAGGGTGTCCCCACCTATAGTAAAGGGTCCATTACCCACAGACTACCAGGTATGTACAGGGTGTCCCCACCTATAGTAAAGGGTCCATTACCCACAGACTACCAGGTATGTACAGGGTGTCCCCACCTATAGTAAAGGGTCCATTACCCACAGACTACCAGGTATGTACAGGGTGTCCCCACCTATAGTAAAGGGTCCATTACCCACAGACTACCAGGTATGTACAGGGTGTCCCCACCTATAGTAAAGGGTCCATTACCCACAGACTACCAGGTATGTACAGGGTGTCCCCACCTATAGTAAAGGGTCCATTACCCACAGACTACCAGGTATGTACAGGGTGTCCCCACCTATAGTAAAGGGTCCATTACCCACAGACTACCAGGTATGTACAGGGTGTCCCCACCTATAGTAAAGGGTCCATTACCCACAGACTACCAGGTATGTACAGGGTGTCCCCACCTATAGTAAAGAGTCCATTACCCACAGACTACCAGGTATGTACAAGGAGTCCCTACCTATAGTAAAGGGTCCATTACCCACAGACTACCAGGTCTGTACAGGGTGTCCCCACCTATAGTAAAGTGTCCATTACCCACAGACTACCAGGTATGTACAGGGAGTCCCCACCTATAGTAAAGAGTCCATTACCCACAGACTACCAGGTATGTACAGTGTGTCCCACCTTTAGTAAAGGGTCCATTACACCAAGTATGTACAGGGAGTCCCTACCTATAGTAAAGAGTCCATTACTCACAGACTACCAGGTATGTACAGTGTGTCCCACCTTTAGTAAAGGGTCCATTACCCACAGACTACCAGGTATGTACAGTGTGTCCCACCTATAGTAAAGGGTCCATTACCCACAGAGTACCAGGTATGTACAGGGTGTCCCCACCTATAGTAAAGGGTCCATTACCCACAGAGTACCAGGTATGTACAGGGTGTCCCCACCTATAGTAAAGGGTCCATTACCCCCAGGCTACCAGGTATGTACAGGGAGTCCCCACCTATAGTAAAGGGACCATTACCCACAGACTACCAGGTATGTACAGGGAGTCCCCACCTATAGTAAAGGGACCATTACCCACAGACTACCAGGTATGTACAGGGAGTCCCTACCTATAGTAAAGAGTCCATTACTCACAGACTACCAGGTATGTTCCATTACCCACAGACTACCAGGTATGTACAGGGAGTCCCTCCCTATAGTAAAGGGTCCATTACCCACAGGCTACCAGGTATGTACAGGGTGTCCCCACCTATAGTAAAGGGGCCATTACCCACAGACTACCAGGTATGTACAGGGAGTCCCTCCCTATAGTAAAGGGTCCATTACCCACAGGCTACCAGGTATGTACAGGGTGTCCCCACCTATAGTAAAGGGTCCATTACCCCCAGGCTACCAGGTATGTACAGGGAGTCCCCACCTATAGTAAAGGGACCATTACCCACAGACTACCAGGTATGTACAGGGAGTCCCTCCCTATAGTAAAGGGTCCATTACCCACAGACTACCAGGTTTGTACAGTGTGTCCCACCTATAGTAAAGGGTCCATTACCCACAGAGTACCAGGTATGTACAGGGTGTCCCCACCTATAGTAAAGGGGCCATTACCCACAGACTACCAGGTATGTACAGGGTGTCCCTACCTATAGTAAAGGGTCCATTACCCACAGACTACCAGGTATGTACAGGGTACCCCACACAGAGAAAGAACTACAACAAGGACAGAATCCTAATCATAGTATTTGACTTTCAAGGCTTTGCAGTTGTTTCACAATTTCTTTTTATTTATCGACTAGGTCATGCCTGCTAATGTCTTTGCCTGTCCAGGTGAAAGGTGTCAAACATATTCCAATCTTCCAATGCTTTCCTCTCCAGAACTATATAAAGTCTGTGGCCTACTCGGATGAAAGACTGTTGTAATTGATAGGGGTTTCGATTAATTGCATACCCACAAAACATGTAATAGAAAATAATATATAGAAAACTGAAATGAATGCAATCAACATTTTATGATTTCATACTTGCAAGTATGAAGAATTATAAATTAGTAAAAACCTTGACCTACATTCAAGGTCACACAGATTGATTGCGTTGAAGACATCAACATAATCATAAAGCCAAGAGTTGTGATATTCAGCCTGTATATTTGAACTTTTATTGCATTGTGTTTGAAGAGTGTGTATAGATTGAAGTAAAAGTGTAAAATTTTACATCTATTACTCTTATCTTCAGGACTGTGTACAGAAGGCCCGAAATCTTTTCAGCCAAGCAGAAAAGGTTTGTAGCTGAAAGTGTTGAAGGATCGGATTGTAAACTCTCATTATTTTATGGTAAATTGTACTCTCAAGATAGGATGTATTAGTAACATCAATACCGTATTCAACCTTATAAGCACTTAAAAACCCATAAGGGGTGTGCTTTATACTGTAAACAGCAAACCTCTCACCAGTCAGATATTTGCACTTTGCCGATAAGATTCATGCTTGCCCAGTGTAAATTTTGCCCTTAGCATGAAATTACTATATTTTGTATGCTGTGTACTGATATTCCTGTCATGATAAATTCCTCCTCATTGGGGAGTCACCCTCCCCAATGAGGAGTAATTTATCATGACAGGAATATCAGAAGGCAGAAGTTGAAATGCTTGAAAAGAAATTCCTGGCATAAAGGAACCCTTTTGTGCTAAAACCTACTGAAACCAGATAGGTCTGTATGTGTTCAAACCAGCCCAAACTGGCTATGTCTGTATGTGTTCAAACCGGCCCAAACTGGCTATGTCTGTATGTGTTCAAACTGGCCCAAACCGGCTATGTCTGTATGTGTTTAAGGTGGCTCCACACATCGTCATCAGCGTCCATTTTCGTGACGTACTTTCGGAAAAAGTACAGCTCGGACTCAATTATCTTGATCGAAATGTGCATGTACACCGTGTCGTCATTTCTGTATTGCGTATTGGGCATTCAATATCGTAGTGCAAATTATAGTTACACCTGGGCCGTTTTCGTTTAAATGTCAAACCGATCGGACCACTGTTGTTCGTTTATTAAATAAGGTCGGACCTAGTAATCTGATGCTGCTTTCAGGCGAGCCTTGAGAAAGCCTTGCAAGACCTGCATACACATTTGCAGGTCCGCCAGGATTTATACCCGAAATTGTTACATTTATAAACGGTCAAACCGGTTGCTCCGCATAAACGAACAGGCCCCTGGTAAACAATAGTACACGTGCATGCCGATGATATGTCAACACCCGATATCGAGATTTTACCGGGAAATGTATAATCACACGTACTTCAGGAATAAAGCTTTCCAATTCATAGTCATAAACAGATAAACAGACTCACGGGAAGACAGTGACATGAGACCAGACGACCTCAAGAAGGTCATATAGGAAACGCATGTAATGCGGACGTACCAACCTCACATGTGCATATCACGTGCTTACACGAGTTCATAAGCTCGAGGTCGTTACGTTTTTCGCTGTTAAGGGAGTTTTGCTCTGTCGATTTAATCGTGTTTACAAATGTAGTCTACTTACTCTGTGAAAATAATGTTTTGTAAAATATCAAGATACCTATGAAATGCATGTGTGAGTGCACGTGAGAACGGCATACCATGCGAAAGCCTCTGGTCACATACATACCTGACATGTAATTATAAATATATCGTGAGTTAGCGGACTGTGGAATGATGTCCAAAGTGTACATGACTGAAGGTAATTTGGTTCCATTAAAGAACAATAAATTGATAATTTTGATATCATATTTTTGATTTATTTCCATCATTTTTGTTATATGTAAACAGAGACAACTGTCATTGTGTAAATGTCACCCCTCTACAAAAAGTTCCGATTTTTTTCAAGGAAGATAACTCTCACCCGGATAGAAGTGATTGTAAAATGTAAATTAAATTGATTATAAAGCCATTGTGTATATTTTGTTCAATTTCCCATTCTATATGTATAGATCTTTGTGTCGTGTTTGCTTTTAGATTGTAGATAATCACTTTTATCCGTAAAAATTCAATAAAAAACACTTTGTATAACATGTGTTACATATTTTGCGATAAATAAAATATTTGTAGGGTTAATTAGAAATGCTTCTTTTCATTTTGTTATTGTTGTTATTGTTCCGAACAATGTCACACACAAAAAAAGCCGGAAGATATTAAAATTGACGAAAATTCCTTTTTTTGGTATTTTTTCCAAAAAAGTCCCCAAACTATCGGAATGTGTAGATTTTCATAAAATCAACTCTACATAGTTGCATAACCATTATATGAAAGTTTCAACGAATTTTGCTGGTTAATTGCGAAAGTGTGGAGCCACCTTAAACCAGACCAAACTGGCTATGTCTGTATGTGTGTTTTAACTATGTATTGCTTTGTAACTTTGCCTTACTTAATCTTTGGCTTACAGTTTCAGGTTTCCTATCATTCTTTGTCATTATTCCTTTATTTTCAGACAAAATACCAACTTGCAGACCACAGACAGATGTTTGATGAGCAGTCCCAGAAATACAGGTGGTTCTTATTACCAAGTGAAGCAGCCCAATGTCTGGATGGTCATTCAGCATCACCAACAGATAAGACCTTTGTTCTACCATTTTGTCCTCCAGCTATTCGGACACGTGTAGGGTTGTCTCCCTTTGTGTGTGGTGGACATACAGAGGAGTGTGATGGTGTCAATAGGGAAGGACCTGTTTGTCCAGTCAGTAGGCAGGAATGTTCCCCTAGGCTCACAACTACTGCATTTGGGGGCAGCTTGATCAAAGCACTTAACCAAGGTTTTGACTTCAACAAAGATGGTGCTGGAACTGAGACATATGAGGTGGGTGCAGGCATGCCTCAGGAGGAAAGGGTCACAGACAATGCCCAGGAGAAAAGGGAAACAAGCAAACCCAAGGCGGAAAGAGTTATAATCAGGCCAAAGGAAATAGGGGCTGAAGAGTTTAACATTCAGGAAACAAATGTATGTTCAATGGCAAAGCGCCGAAAAATAGCAGATTGTTCTGGTGTAGGTGGGGATATGGAGAGTTCTAACCTAATCACTGCTAAATCCAACACCGATAGCAATAACTTCATTATAAAGGATACAAAGGGGTCACATGATACAGGGAGAACACAGGATACAGCGAGATCACAGGATACAGGGAGATCACAGGATACAGGGAGATCACAGGATACAGGGAGAACACAGGATACAGGGAGATCACAGGATACAGCGAGAACACAGGATACAGCGAGAACACAGGATACAGCGAGATCACAGGATACAGGGAGATCACAGGATACAGGTAGATCACAGGATACAGCGAGATCACAGGATACAGGAAGGTCAGATGATACAGGGGGGTCACAGGAAACAGGAAGGTCACAGGAGACAGGAAGGTCACAGGAGACAGGAAGGTTACAGGAGACAGGAAGGTCACAGGAGACAGGAAGGTTACAGGAGACAGGAAGGTCAGATGATACAGGGGGGTCACAGGAAACAGGAAGGTCACAGGATACAGGGGGGTCACAGGAGACAGGAAGGTCAGAGGAGACACACAGATCCATAGGTAGTAACAGGAAAGCACTCAAACAGATGGAAAGGAAAAAGAAAAGTGGCTGGTTTTCTCCTCCTAAAGTCATATTTACACCTTTCCTGAAGGTATGGCATTGTCTGTCTATCTGACAGGGTTAAGCTTGGTACTAATAGGTTTAAGTTGGTATGGTGTTGTTTATCTGGCTTGGCGTCAGAGAAATTTTGTCTGCACCTTGTTTTTCTTGCTATTTCATTTTCGTTCACAAAAGTGGCTATAATCCTATAAAAGAGAAATGAGGCTTACCCGGTACTAAATGTTTGGTTTTGTGTTCAACTATATATAGAGTTTGTCCCTTGTTCATGTATAGTTTCAACAGATGCTGCTTGGCATGTGATAAAGATATATTGTTCCACCCCTGTTGTAATTTGTTAAGACTTGTGCTATGAGATAAACGTTGAAGTCCATCAAAATTGTATTTTAATTGACTTAATTGTAGACTGCCGTAAGTTATTCTGATGAGGAAGTAGTACCGCTGTTTTGTAAGATAAATCTTGTTTCTTGCAGGCAGTGACAGATTTAGAGATGATACAGAACGGGGATAAGGTCCTTGTATGTCTCTCTGGTGGCAAAGACTCCCTCAGCTTGCTTCATACCATACAACAGTACCAGTTCTACTGTAGAGGCAAGGTAAACATCCAGAGAGTGTAGACTGTAGAGGCAAGGTAAACATCCACAGAGTGTAGACGGTAGAGGCAAGGTAAACACCCACAGAGTGTAGCCTGTAGAGGCAAGGTAAACAACCACAGAGAGTAGACTGTAGAGGCAAGGTAAACCAAGGTAAACATCCAGAGAGTGTAGACTGTAAAGGCAAGGTAATTATAAACATCCACAGAGTGTAGACTGGAGAGGCAAGGTAAACATCCACAGAGTGGAGACGGTAGAGGCAAGGTAAATAGCAGAGAAGTGTAGACTGTAGAGGCAAGGTAAAAGACTGTAGAGGCAAGGTAAATGGCTGAAGAGTGTAGACTGTGGAGGCAAGGTAAACATCCACAGAGTTTAGACTGTAGAGGCAAGGTAAACTTCCACAGAGTGTAGACTGTAGAGTCAAGGTAAACATCCACAGAGTGTAGATTGTAGAGGCAAGGTAAATAGCAGAGGAGTGTAGACTCTAGAGGCAAGGTAAACATCCACAGAGTGTAGGCTGTAGAGGCAAGGTAAATAGCAGAGAAGGGTAGACTGTAGAGGCAAGGTAAAAGACTGTAGAGGCAAGGTAAATGGCTGAAGAGTGTAGACTGTAGAGGCAAGGAAAACATCCACAGAGTGTAGACTGTAGAGGCAAGGTAAACATCCATGGAGTGTAAACTGTAGAGGCAAGGTAAACAACCACAGAGTGTAGACTGTAAAGGCAAGGTAATTATAAACATCCACAGAGTGTCGACTGTAGAGGCAAGGTAAACATCCACAGAGGGTAGACTGTAGAGGCAAGTTAAACATCCATGGAGTGGAAACTGTAGAGGCAAGGTAAACAACCACAGAGGGTAGACTGTAGAGGCAAGTTAAACATCCATGGAGTGGAAACTGTAGAGGCAAGGTAAACAACCACAGAGGGTAGACTGTAGAGGCAAGTTAAACATCCATGGAGTGGAAACTGTAGAGGCAAGGTAAACATCCATGGAGTGTAGACTGTAGAGGCAAGGAAAACATCCACAGAGTGTAGACTGGAGAGGCAAGGTAAACATCCACAGAGGGTAGACTGTAGAGGCAAGTTAAACATCCATGGAGTGGAAACTGTAGAGGCAAGGTAAACAACCACAGAGGGTAGACTGTAGAGGCAAGTTAAACATCCACAGAGTGTAGACTTTAGAGGCAAGGTAATTATAAACATCCACAGAGTGAAGACTGTAGAGGCAAGGTAAACAACCACAGAGGGTAGACTGTAGAGGCAAGGTAATTCTAAACAACCACAGAGTGTAGACTGGAGAGGCAAGGTAAACATCCACAGAGGGTAGACTGTAGAGGCAAGTTAAACATCCATGGAGTGGAAACTGTAGAGGCAAGGTAAACAACCACAGAGGGTAGACTGTAGAGGCAAGTTAAACATCCACAGAGTGTAGACTGGAGAGGCAAGGTAAACATCCACAGAGGGTAGACTGTAGAGGCAAGGTAATTCTAAACAACCACAGAGTGTAGACTGTAGAGGCAAGGTAAATGGCTGAAGAGTGTAGACTGTAGAGGCAAAGTAAACAACCACAGAGTGTAGACTGTAGAGGCAAGATAAACATCCACAGAGTGTAGACTGTAGAGGCAAGGTTAACATCCACAGAGTGTAGACTGTAGAGGCAAGGTAAACAACCACAGAGTGTAGACTGTAGAGGCAAGGTAAACATCCACAGGGTGTATACTGTAGAGGCAAGGTAAACATCCACAGAGTGTAGACTGTAGAGGCAAGGTAAACATCCACCGAGTGTAGACTATAGAGGCAAGGTAAACATCCACAGAGTGTAGACTGAAGAGGCAAGGTAAACATCCACAGAGTGTAGTCTGTAGAGGCAAGGTAAACATCCACACAGTGTAGACTGTAGAGGCAAGGTAATTATAACCAACCACAGAGTGTAGACTGTAGAGGCAGGGTAAACATCCACAGAGTGTAGACTGTAAAGGCAAGGTAAACATCCACAGAGTGTAGACTGAAGAGGCAAGGTAAACATCCACAGAGTGTAGACTGAAGAGGCAAGGTAAACATCCACAGAGTGTAGTCTGTAGAGGCAAGGTAAACATCCACAGATTGTAGACTGTAGAGGCAAGGTAAATGAGGAGAGTAGACTCCTCTCATGAAGTCCTTATCGACAAATGTTTACGGCATGAATACATTATATATTTCCTCTTCAAATAATAATTTAATAACAAAACTATACTAGAGGCAAGGTAAATATCCACAGAGTGTAGACTGAAGAGGCAAGGTAAACATCCACAGAGTGTATACTGTAGAGGCAAGGGAAACATCCACAGAGTGTAGACTGTAAAGGCAAGGTAAACATCCACAGAGTGAAGACTGTAGAGGCAAGGTAAACATCGACAGAGGGAAGACTGTAGAGGCAAGGTAAACATCCAGAGAGTGGAGACTGTAGAGGCAAGGTAAATAGCAGAGAAGTGTAGACTGTAGAGGAAAGGTAAACATCCACAGAGTGTAGACTGTAGAGGCAAGGTAAATGAGGAGTGTAGACTCCTCTCATGAAGTCCTTATCGACAAATGTTTACGGCATGAATACATTATATATTTCCTCTTCAAATACTAATTTAATAACAAAACTATACTAGATCTGGAGTACAGCTTATATATCTGAATTATAGTAATATGGTCTGGTGTAGATACTACCTGCTAGATCTAGCGTCAAATAACATCTGAATTCATTAACATTGTTTCACGAGTATATTACTCAGTGTTTTCTAACAGCATCTGTTCCATTGCAGGGCTTGAAGTTTGAGTTTGGAGCAGTAACTGTTGACCCCCAGACACCGTCGTACGACCCCCGGCCACTGAAGGGCTATCTGGCAGGTCTTGGAGTACCCTACTTCTATGAGAGCCAGTGTAAGTTACACACAAGCTTCTGGTGTGTCCAGATCTGTGATCAGACTTCACTTTATTCTGTCAAAGAGAAGCATTGTAAGCCCTTTATTAGCCCCTTGCAATACTTTCCATTGTTTAGAAAAACTCGACAATTGATTTGACACTACAGCTGCTCTATTTCCCATGTAACGTTGTTCACGTTTCATGATCAATGTCCTTTTGCTGGATTCTACTCCTTTGTTTAAGAACAAACTTCCCAGGCAACTTTAGCTCCCTAAATGACTAGAATGTTCCCGGGGGAACTTGGTGATGTACGTTTAAGTTGTTATCCTGATGTCATGCTGTTTGCTACAACAGGTATCATGGAGGCTGCCCAGAACCTTGACTACGAATGTACATCCATTTGTAGCTTTTGTAGTCGTATGAAGAGAGGCCGAATCTACGCCTGTGCTCGCCGAGAACAGTACAATGTCCTAGCTCTGGGGCAACACCTCGACGATTTGAGTGAAAGGTCAGGGCTCATTTTTAGTTCACCTTGACTAAGGTGGAGGAATATTGTCTCCTAAGTCTGTGAATTTTTACTTCTCTACAACTTATAGATAAAGAATTAGTTACCAGAATCCATATCATAACATATGTTAAGAAAATGTAATTCCTTGATTGATTTATCACTATGTAGGTATATATATATACTGTGTGTTGACTGATAACTGACTTTTTTGTGTGCAGTTTCCTGATGTCTGTCTTCCACAATGGCCTACTACGTACAATGAAGGCACACTATACTGTAGAGTAAGTACACCACAAAATCTTTTATCGGTCTATCAACTTTTTGTTTTTGAAATGTTACCGAGCAGAGGGATGGGGCCAAATAGGGAAAGGAAATGAAAATTTTCCAAAACTTTCCCCTTCTGTACCATAGGAGGAATTGTTTTTGAGCAAAGGGACTCAATTTTTAGCTCACCTGTCCGAAGGGCAAGTGAGCTTATACCGTGGCGCGGCGTCCATCGTCTGTCCGGCGTCAATATTTTACTTTTAACAACTTTTTCTCAATAACAAAAAGGCCTAGGGTGATGATATTTGGCCTGAAGCAAACTGGGATGAAGGGCTACGAAGTTTGTTCAAATGAATGACCTTGCCCACTTTCAAGGTCACAGTGGTCAAATGTTTTAAAATCTTCAAACATCTTCTCAATAACCAAAAGGCCGAGGGTACGTATATTGGGCCTGTAGCATGCTGGGATGAAGGGCTACCAAGTTTGTTCAAATGAATAACCTTGACCCACTTTCAAGGTCACAGGGGTCAAATGTGTTAAAATCTTCAAATGACTTCTTCTCAATAAACAAAAAGCCCAGTGTACTGAAATTGGGCCTGTTGCATACTGGGATGAAGGACTACCAAGTTGGTTCAAATGAATGACCTTGACCCACTTTCAAGGTCACAGGGGTCAATTGTGTTAAAAATCTTCAGACGACTTCTTCTCAATAACCAAATTCCCCAGGTACTGGTTTTGGGCTTGTAGCAAGCTGGGATGAAGGGCTACCAAGTTTGTTCAAATGAATGACATTGACCCTGTTCAACTTAATGTCCTTGTTCGACTTTCAAGGTCACAGGCGTCATATATTTAAATCATTTAATAGATTCAAATGAATCGAACATAGATATTTTGCCTGTAGCTGTATATTAGTCCACTTTTAAGATTACAATTGTGAGATTAATCCCAGGTGAGCCCATTGGGCCTTTTGTTTATAAATGGAGGGTTTGGCGCCTCTGGGGGCATACAGTTGGATCCCAAATAGGGAAAGGAAATGAAAATCTTCCAAAAGTTTCCCCTTCAGTACCATGTACCATAGAAGGAATTGTTTTTGAGCAAAGGTGACTCAATTTTTATAATCTGAGGGTGTGGCCCCTCTGGGGGCATACAGGAGGTTCCCAATAAGCTAAATGAACTAAATAATTCCTCAAAATCGGTCTTTTTCCTATGATTTGAAGCTTGAGCATCCTTTCTAGTATATAGTTTACTTTGTAAGACTTGGTTAGTAGTTCTAGGTCTAACTTGTATGGTTTATAGTATATTGTATACTTTGTATGACTTGGTTAGTAGTTCTAGGTCAAACCTGTATGGTTTCTAGTATATAGTTTACTTTGTAAGACTTGGTTAGTAGTTCTAGGTCTAACTTGTATGGTTTATAATATATAGTTTACTTTGTAAGACTTGGTTAGTGGTTCTAGGTCTAACTTGTATGGTTTCTAGTATATAGTTTACTTTGTAAGACTTGGTTAGT